TTACAGTCTGTGGCCTCGACAATATCAAAGTCGAGGCCCCACACCGGCGAGGCACCCCTGGGCAATGCCACAGGTGCCAATTATATGGCCACGCAGCAGCCAACTGCTCGGCGGCCCCGAGGTGCGTCAAGTGCCTCGTACCCCACCTCACCAAGGAGTGCACCCGCACTCGTGACGCACCCGGGGCACCCGCATGCGTGCTCTGTGGCCAAGAAGGCCACCCGGCCAATTACAGGGGTTGCCCGCGGGCCCCACGCCCCAGGCCCAACACTCACACACACACAAAGCCAACCACGGCGACAAAAATACACCCACCACCACCTAACAACACCACCACAAACTTCCCGGGGCTACCCAAGGCGGCCGCCCCTCGCAGCCCGGCGCCCCCGACAGCCTGGGGACCAGCCAGGGCCCGCCCAAAACCACACCCACCACAACACACCACACCAACAACACAAGCTAAGCCAGCCCAAGACGTCTCTCTGGCCGAGGACATGGCGCTTATTCGCTCCTCGCTCAAGAGGGTGAATATCGCCGAGATCCACACTCTCGCCGCGAAGCTCCGGCTAGCAAAGACACCACTTGAAAAGGCTATAGCTATAGCCGAACACCCCGAACTCGTTGCCGCGTTCGATTAATTTTTCAATCATTATAACACTGGAAAATAACCAGACTCCGAACACAAACAAAAACACTATACACAAAACACGCGGTGATAACTCAAACAAACACCACTGTTGTTTAAATTATGACCGCGCAAAACACTAACATAACAATCACTCAACTAAACCCCGGGCGTACCAAGCCGAAAGGCGCTTCGCTTGTGTCATTTAATACGCGCAGCTTAAAGTCCAACCTTAACGAAATTAAATTATTTTTGCAAGATAGGGAACCTGACTTTCTGCTCCTTCAGGAGACTTGGCTCAAACCAACTCAAATGAAGGGGCTGTCGATCCCTAAGTATAAATTAATCCGGAACGACGGTGCCAACGCGCGCGGCGGCACCGCAATTTACTATAGACGCAACCTACACTGCACACCTATACCCACTCCCGCGCTCACAAACATGGAAGCCACCATCTGTAGGCTGGCGATGACAGGACACCAGTCCTTAATCATCGCCTCAGTCTACATTAGATCAGGTACACACCCTCACCGCGCAGACTTCGAAACACTCACTTCACTAGGTACATCAGTCATAATGTTCGGTGACTTTAACTCCAAACACACCGACTGGACATGCGAGACCACCACCACCTCTGGCCGCAGATTACTACACATCACCGAGGAGCTTGGCTATGATGTCATATGTCCCTACGCGCCCACCCACTACCCAGACAATGTACAAAACCGACCCGACGTCCTGGACTTCGCGATCCTTAAAAACGTGTCGCTCCGCCTCAGCTCGATCGAAACGCTCGACGACCTGGGGTCAGATCACAGACCGGTGTCTCTAGTTCTAGGTCCCCAAGACCCACTAGACGCCCCCGCGCCCCCTAAGAGGCTATTCACCAACTGGGACGGATACCGCTCCGCTCTCGAGACCGCTTTAGACTCCCCCGAGTCCCCGTTCCCTAACTCACCGGACAGTCTCGACAGCACCGACAAGATTGACGAAACTATAGAGTCTTTAACTTTACTGGTGACCGAGAAGGCGAAGGAGAACTCGCGGGAGGTTGAGCTGCCAAAGCCCAAGCTCCCGCTGGCCATCCGGAACCTAATCCAAGCCAAAAACGCCGCTCTCCGGAGAGCCAAATTATACCCCACCCCCGAGTATAGGGCTACAGCTAATCGCCTTCAGCGACAAGTTAGGTCCCAATTAGCCGCTCTGAGACACTCCCGTTGGGAGGAACTCATGGCGGACATTACCCCATCCCATCTTGCGTACTATAGAATCGCGAAAGCGCTCCGTAGCGACGTCACCACTCACACCCCCCCGCTCACTCGCCCCGACGGCACCGTCGCCTTCGAAGACGACGAAAAATCTGAGTGTTTTGCAGACAGCATAGCGGCGCAATGCACGCCTAGTACGCAGGAAACTAACCCGCAACATATTCGCGGAGTGGAGGAGGAGGTCCGCCGGCGGGCCGCCCTTCCACTCATTGACAACCCCCTAGACCCCGTCACGACAGACGAACTCAGACAGACCATTAGAAATTTTAAGCAACGCAAGGCCCCGGGCGCCGACGGCATCTCTAACAAGGCGCTCAAGCATTTTCCCATCCAAATGCTAACCTTGCTTGCAATCCTCTTTAACGCATGTTTTGATCTGTGCTACTTCCCAGCCGCCTGGAAAGAAGCAATAGTGATAGGCATCCCCAAACCCGGAAAACCCGCGCACCTCCCCAGTAGCCATCGCCCTATTAGCCTCCTCAAGGCAATGGCGAAACTTTTCGAAAAAACCATACTGACCAGACTAAGAGAGCACCTCCTATCACCATCCGATCCTATTATCATTGACCACCAATTCGGCTTCAGAGCCAAACACTCCTGCCCCCAACAGATCCATCGCATAGTGGAGCACGCCCTAAGCGGCTTCCAACTTAATAAATATAAAACTATTGCAGTCTTCTTAATTTCAGATTAATCTTTAAATTATATCAATTAGAGTTACCTGACCGCCTAGTTAGGTTAGTAGCCTCTTTTCTATCAAACCGCACCTTCCGCTATAGATACGAAGGTTCACTATCAACGCCCCGCCCACTACGAGCCGGTGTACCGCAGGGGTCCGCTCTCTCCCCCCTGCTATACACAGCGTACACCAACGACATCCCTCAGACCAAGGGTATCGAGCTCGCTCTCTTCGCGGACGACACGGCCCTCTACTCTAGAGGAGCCAGTACCAATCAAATCATAGCCAAGCTCCAACCGGCAATCACAACACTTGGGAATTGGTTCCGCGATTGGAGAATCGACGTAAATCCGGACAAAAGTTCGGCCATTTGCTTCGATCCCAAGCGCCGCACCAAAACCATACAACACGGTGCGCGGTCTCTGCGAATGCAAGGCATAGCAATACCGTGGCACCGCACAGTCAAATACCTAGGGATCACACTAGACAAAAAACTCACCTTCCGTGCACACATCACACGCGTAGTCGCGAACGCGCGCTTTTATATGAGTCGCCTCCACCCGATGCTCGGTAAATACAGCAAAATGTCACTTCGTAACAAGCGAACGCTTTACAAAGTTTGCATACGCCCGGTCCTCACTTACGCGTCACCAGTGTTCGCACACGCGGACGAAGCGATTTTGAACAAACTTCAAGTGCTTCAAAATCGCTTCTGCCGCATAGCCACAGGGGCCCCGTGGTACGTCCGCAACGCGGACCTCCACAGGGACCTACAACTCGACACAATTCAAACACACCTCACAGAGTGCTCGGAACGGTTCTTCAAAGCTGCAGAAGAGCACTCTAACACACTCATTAGATCGGCGTCGGGATACGCTCCACACACTCCATCTCGATTCAGGCCCCGCAGGCCCAAACACGCACTCACAGCCACACACAATAAACTCACGTGCGATCTCGCGGCCCTCTTGGCCGCTGAGGACGCGGTGAGTCCCCCCCGCCCCCCCGACACAGAGAGGTTCGATTCCTCTCAGTCCCCTCCCGTTTCAAGTGCACATCCGAGTGCACTTCTCCTCTAAGCGCATTTTGCGTTATTTTAAACTATGCACTAGTTTAAACTAACGCAGCGCCGCATCATCCCCCTCTCGGGGGGTGATCGCTTCAGATGAAGCTTGTAAGGCCCTTCTGGCCATAAGCATGAATAAAGGGTGTTTTTTAGTCAGTAAGAGTCTGAATTGGCAAAATAAAATATATTTTCAAAAAATCTATGAAATGGAACACTGATTTTTCTTCCATATACACCGCGCGTAAAGTAAGACATATGTAACACACTTCTCTATAATTCCGCCAGTCCAGAGGGATCCTGCATATTTTTAGGCCGAAGTTAGTCCCGCAAAATGTATGCGGGATTCCTCCCGGTATTGCATTCCCTAGCTCTAGGTATAGCCAAGAGTAAATTTAAATTTAAGAGTAAATTTGTAGAAAAAATATTTATGTTTTTAAAGACATCAATTTACAGTTTTTCAAATAGGTGTTCATTTTATTTTCTTAAATATATCACATCCGAATGGTCATTAGAGTAAGCATTTCATAAAAACTCTTTGTAACCCTTTTTCAAATGAGTGTATAGCTACACTCTTTTAAACATAATAATAAAGTTGACGTTTCGGACTCATTTCTGTATAAAGGCTGAAAAATATTTATTAACACCTGTTAATACTCAAGCCCCTAATAACTAATTGAAAATGATTTGACAAAATTATGTATCTTTTTATTAGTAGTTTTGCTATCACAACAATCTTAAGCTACGTCCTAGAACTGTTATGAATAGCTGATATTTACATAAACATAAAGGTGCGCTGAAAATAGCAATTTCAAAAGAACATCGTCACACAGAATCTTCGTTGGCCTCCTTTCATTATCATTTTGTTTGCGTTACGATAACGCACCTACTAGAAATGAATTTCCATCGCTCTTCTACGAATAATATAGTTTTGCTATCTATATAACCTAGATAATCAAACTTTTTCTATCCGGCAAAAGGACCATATTAAAGAAAATCCAAGAAATTCAATCGTGTCTCCACATAATACTAAGTGTCAATCCGGTAGTAAGTAAATTAAAATGTCTTTGGAACCAAAATCTTTTACGAAACGCAAACAAGAGTAGGTAATAAAAATTGTAATCACATTATGAGTGCAAAATGTGCATAAAAAACAGCGTCGTATCAAAATGTGTTGGATGCATTCGTTGGAAAGAATTAAGATAAAATAGTATTTCATCGTAATAATTCTAAAAAGGATAAATCGTAAAACTCTACGTGATTATTTCATTATTTATAACAGTAACATTGACACTTGTATGAAGCGAGTTTATTCATAAATAAATAAGATGCACTTTCTAATAATAAAAAAGTATCTCATCTTACCTAAAACAAGCATCCACAGAAACAAAGTCCTCCTCACAAACACTACACTGATTTTACTCAAATCACAATTATTGTTCGAAAGAAACCGGTAGTATTTATTGAGATAGTAACACGAGAACTGTCTGTTACTCTCAAACGGTACGGAATTCGCGTCGCGTGTTCTGCAGCGGAACGTGTCACGCGCGAGTATCGTCCGCAGTGATCTGAGGTAGACTGGGCTATAGGGGGCGGGCGGGTAAGGCGAAATATTTTCCGCCCGCCCAGGAGAGGACCCCGCTCACACTTTTGTTCCTGGATGTGCCGTGTCGCATACCTTACCCGCGTATCTTAAGTAGCATTGTGAAGAGCGGTCCTTTAATACTTTTCCTACTAACAAGGTAGCAGTTGCGTTGCGTTTCTTGAGATGTCCTTTTTACTAGGGAAAGAAGAAAGTAGTATTTCAACTTAATTGTTATCTTCCTATTTCTGTAGTGGAAATTTATATATTTTGAGAAAACTATATCTTATAGGAGTTGATGAGGTTTTTTAATTCATTATGCATCAAATTCTGTGCATAATATTATTATCCGAAAATTTAGTATTTTAGAGGTTAATTTGCATCTCTGTTATTGTAGATACTAATGCTACTCCCACACCAAATTTATAGAACTAAATTCAAATTTGGAACGGTAATTTTAGCAAATTTAGTAACAAGTTTCGTCGCGCAGGTGTGGCAGAAGCATAATATGTAGCATGAAAATGTACATTATGCCAAATGAACTTTTCCGCCTAGTACAAATTAATGAATGAACATGACAGTTTCCTAAACTATTACAGACGCTCGCACCTCTGACGCTCTACAGCACCACTTATGTCAACTCATCAACTCCAGTCCTCTAAAGACAGGATTACCTACAGAACACATGGGATTACCTTGTTGGGGTACTATTATTAAAACAATGTTGTATTTACATACTCGCATCTTCTGTAAAATAAATCTTTATTATTATTTCTTAGTATTCATGACTTTAAAAGTTAGGTTCGACGACGACGCTCAAAAGACGCTAGTTTAAAAAGTCTGAAAAAAATGTCAGTATGGGAGTATACAATCCGTAACGGAGAAGCATAGAGGGATATCAGCAAGAGGTCAAACGTCCCTGAAGTTATACGTACGATTAAATATTATAAATATTTCCCACTCTCACACCGATTAGCCTAGCCCCAAAGTAAGCACTGTAAGACTTGTGTTTAGGATAGTAATACATATATAAGTATATTTTATTTAGAGATATATATAAACATCCATGACTAAGGTACAAACGCTCGTATTCATCATACTAATATTTGTCGTCACCAAGATTCGAACCCGGGACCTCTGAGTACGCGACGCCATGATACCCGGCATATATACCACTCGGCCACGGAGTTCGTTGTCGATATTAATGTAAGAAACAATGTTTCTTAATTAATTTCGAGTCTGAGCGGTGTCGAAGTGTGGTTTGTTGTTTTTGAATTACATGAACGTACTCGTACCATACATGATTCTTATTATAGTAAATGTGAAAGTATTTTTTTATGCATGTACCTACTTTGTCTGTTACACTTTCGAATCTAAACCGCTAAACCTATTTTGATGAATTTTGTATATAAAGGGAACCTGGAGAAGGAAAGAATATTTTTATAAGAATTAAAAAAGGTAAGTCTTATTTTAAAAAATATGTATGGGAAACATTATTTTACGCATAAGAAGTCACACACCCCTGTAGTCGTAGTACTCTAAAATCTGTTAAGCTGTACGTACGGATAGCGCGTTCAGCAGTGCTATTCTTTAAGAACAAACTCACTTATCACCACGGAATTCGCTGGTGTGATTTGTAATTTATTTGAAATTCGTATTCTAACTTTGAATCTCACCGCGGATTCCGAGGGGAAAACTGGGTGTGTTGTTACAGAATAGCACTGCAGTCTAGGGAAATGCGTGTCCCGCGAGTTGACTCGTTGAAGAGCTGCCAGTCGGTTTTTGGTCGCGTATTAAAGGAAAAGCGTACGCCCGATTATATAAATATCTGCGCTAGGTATTTCTTAATAGTGTCAGATCTGTAACTTGTGTAATCATATTTTATGCGCTTACTTACAAGTTTGTATAACGCTGTAAGTTCATTTTTCATGGACCTAGTTTTTGGTTTGGTATTTTGTAGTAGTTTCCTCCTCCTTATAAGTGCTAAGGTGCTCTCTGATAAAATTTTGTAACTTTTATTTGTATGCTTTGTTAGGTATTCGAGCAACTTTGAGACTTTTAGTTATTGCCTTAACCCGGCGTTCGCACAGTTGGGTCTATTTGACCCGAGCAGTTTTCAAATGACCGTGTTTCTTAAAATGTTTGTGCGACTTTGCCAAACTTCTCAGTAGCTGGAGCTTATGGTCCCCCCTCCACGTGGGATTCGCCAATCAGTCGTGTTGCGGCCGCAGCGAGTGATAGACACGGCCAAACACGAAAAAGGTAAATATGACCCAACCATACTATTCGTGTCGTAATTTTGCGCCGTTTAAAAAAATGTTTTATTGTTGTTTTATATTGTTTATTTTGTTATTTTTGGCAAATATGTCTGAAATAAATGCGTACATATTACATAACGCCAATTTCTAAAGAAACTTAAGCCTTATACTGGTTCGTGAGCATTTGCGCAATCGTAAAGATGTCATTCAGTTGCCAAGACTTATGCGCAAAAGAATAAGAGAGTTTTTAGGAGTATGTACCTGATGAGGAGCCACCTGTGAAGATACTTTATGTAAGAAAGAGATGCCAAGACTGTTCTGCCAAAAAAGATAGAAAACTAATACTTTTCGGAGCTGTATATGCAAATACATCTGCAGTGACCATGCAATGTTGTACTGCCGAGATTGCGCAGATGATAAGGATACTATGACTGACGTATGAGACTGATACAAATAGTATAATATTATTAGTTTACTAAAGATTTGATTAACATGTAACAAATTAGTATATGTTATAGAAAAAAAATTGTTTTGTTAAAATTTTATTACTTTAAGACAGAGGTTGTCCATTTTCTTAATATTTTGTGACACTTTTATGAAAATAAAATTAAAAAGATAGTTTCGTATCATGTTGTGTTTTTTTCTACTCAAAACCTATAACGATAATCGTTTTATACAGATAGTACAACCACAAACCAAATTTATTTTAACTTTTGTAATTATGGCGTTTTCTTATACGGGTCCTCTCGACCCAACCCTACTGTCGTTGATGCATATTTTGACTGTGCTGACGCCGGGTTAAGTATATTTTCGTAGAAGATTTGAACTGTAATAGTTTTTGTTGTTACAGAATAGCACTGCAGTCTAGGGGAATGCGTGTCCCGCGAGTTGACTCGTTGAAGAGCTGCCGTCAGTCGGTTTTTGGTCGCGCATTAAAGGAAAAGCGTACGCCCAATTATATAAATATCTGATAATAAAAAAATAATATATCCTTTTTTAAAATCTGACACTGACAGCCTTAATTTTTTATTCATTGCTAAAGATTTTAATTTACATCAAGCGCTGTTGGCTTAGGTATTTGTGGCAATACAAATTAATTATAAATATTTATAAGAACATGCCATTTTAATGAAAGTATAAACTTGCGACTCTCCGTTTATTAGGACAAAGTGAGACATAAAAATTTATAAGTCATAAATTATATTAAAATAAAACAAATGATACATGACTATGATTCTACTGAAAACCTATTATGCCCTCTAAGGTAAACCTGATAATGATGATATTCGTAGTTTTCACAAGAGATTTTAATTTCGCCTCTGCTACTGTTGAAACTAATCATTTACACACGACTGCACATACACAAACATACACTACACTGCATACATATTACATACACAAAAAGAACGAAATGACACATACACGCCGTTTTTGGTTATTATCTCTATTTTTAATTTTGGAAACTGGATAATTTACTAGCTTCCTATTAGATAGAATAGCTTACTTTGATTTTTGTTATTATTTATTTGTTTTCTTTTATTCAATGCTGTTGAAACAACAATGTATATACACATTTCAACTGTCCAAGATATTGTACCATCCGTGGAAGTCTTGCTGTCTGTGATTGGGCCTGGTGACCTGTAGCACAGGTTTCTATTGCTGAAACCTATTTCAGGCACCAGTTCATCACAAATAGAGGAGCCACAATACTGTAATAGCTATACAAGACTTACTATGAATCTCTGTTGTGATGGAAAATAAATATATTTTTGATTTGATTTGATTTGATACATTACTTCAAAATAACATAGAATTAAATTCGGTTATATAAAAAAAAGAATAAAATTAATATAACACTAATATGCCATTAAAAAATATATATGAAAGAGAATTACAATTTATATAAGTAATAACATAGTACAGAATAATAACATTTATTGACTAACCATTCAAACAATTTAGTTTTAAATCCATTGTAAGTCAAACTTACAATTTCACTAGGTAGACTAGACTAGGTATTGTATATTTTTACTGACATAAGCGTAACTTTTTATACCACACACCTCCTTTCTTAGCTGTGGCATTACCAGATTGTCAAGATATTGGGTTCTTAATTGGCAGACATCCTTTTTCCTTCTATATAATTCAGGATGTTGTTTTACAAAGTTACATATTTCGTATAAATACATGCGAGGAAGGGTGTGCAGATTTAACTCTTTGAATAAGGGTTTGCAGGAAGTTACGGGAGACACATCTTTTATTGCACGAATACATTGTTTCTGCGTAATAAATGCCCTTTAAATTTTTACTGAGTTTCCCCATAGCACAATGCCGTATCTGAAATTAGACGCCATATAACCGTGATATGCCTTCCATGCCCTTTGCAAACTAGTTACTTTTGCCAGTTTCCATAGTGCGTATCTAAAACGATTCAGTTTCCCACAAACATGATTAATATGGGATTTTCAAGAGCAACTTTTATCAAATAATAAACCCAAGAATGTAGCCTCATCCGATTCCATTAATTCTATATCATTATATTTTACAGTAAGAGATTTTTTCACAACATTTTTGTTCAAAAACTGTATATATTTAGTTTTTCCAAGGTTGAATTTGATGTTATTAGCTTTTAGTCATTTTATCATATTATTAACACATGCATTTATTTCACTATTGTTTAATATTATGAGATTTATTTAATAAGAGAAATAAAATTATTGCAGCAAAACAGAATTGCAACTCGGATAAAATGTTTCTGAAACAGGAAATGTGGTTTTACCAGATAGACACAGCTATATTTGATTTATTTCTATATCAAATCACAGCTTTAATAGGGATGATGAAG